TCCTGTCAGCAGACTGGACCATTTGCCTCATAGCCTCATGAGCTCTTGGCAGTATCAATACATTTGACAAAATCCTTTTTAATAGGTGTGGAGGTTATCTTATTTATATTTTTAATTTATGTTTATATATAATTTTATTTACAAAATTTATAATTTATATTTCCTTAGTGACTAAAGTTGTTAAAATCTATTTTCAAAATTTACTGTCATCTTTATATCTTTTCTTTTCAAATGTTTTATATATATCTATGTGTATATATATGTATATATATATATAGGATAGTGGTGGTTTTCTTACATTTATATTTTGAGGATTATTTATATGTTCTAGAGGACAATTCTCATGTTGGACGTACAGTAGGGAAATATTTTCTCCAGTGTGTAGCTGGTCTTTAGAGACTGTGCTTTAAAAGCAAACTTTTGTGTTTGGTTTTGGATCACACCTGGTGGCGCTTGGAAATCATTCTGTATTGGCAATCAAACCTGGGACTTACGCATGCAAAGCATACCTCCAACCCCTGGGTCCAACTTCCTGTCCCTCAAAGCAAACATTTTAAATTGTGATGAAGCTTGATTTATTTAAAAAGGGCTATTTTTTATGGACCATGCCTTTGGTGTGTACATCTAAGATACTCTTTGCTTGCCTCAGGATCTCAAGGATGTGTTTTTCTAAAAGTTAATGATTTTATGCTTTATATATACTGTGAGCTAATTTTGGTTAGCTCTTGTTTAAATTATGAGGATTATTTTTATTATGAAGATAAGTATGTTTTTCTAGTGCAGTGATATTGGTTTATAATATTGTATATATTTTTAGAATTTAGTTTTCTTTTTTTTTCAAGTGAATCACAGGGTTGGAGCAGGTAGGGAGTTTGTCTCACATGCTGCTGACCTGCGTTCAATCCCTGGCCTCCCGTATGGTCCCTCAAGCACCACCAGGAGTAATTCCTGAGTGCAGAGCCAGGGGTAACCCCTGAGCATCGATGGGTGTGACCCCCACCCCAAAAAATAAAATGAATTTTCTGCCACATTTTAGTGGCAGAAAAAGGTGTATTAGCTAGCTTATGTCTAGCTGAAAAATTCCAGTGGGGATAGTTTGATTCTGATTGTGTTGATAGAATAAATATTGATAGTTAAATTGGTCATTCTCTTCTTTATGTCTTCTTGATTTCAGGAGCTTTTTGTGGCTTTACACGTACATTTTAAGCATATAGTTACAAAGTTTTTCATGATTGGGCTTCAGTCATATGATGCTCCAACACCCGTCTCTTCACCAGTGTACATTTTCCAACACCAGTATATATATATTCTGCTTATGTTTTAGGAGTACAGGTTCACCTCTTAAGTATGTTACCATACCACACCCAGCACCAAGCTACCAATATTCCTCTACTATAGGCCACAGGATTTTGTGGTTGTCGTTGTTTTGTTCCTTTTTCCCCGCTTCTGGTAACCCCACTTCTTGTGGTTTGACTCCACGGATTTTGGTTTGGCTTTGTCCGGTCCCATGCGTTGAGTCTTTATATGCCCCACCTGAGTGAAATCATCCAGGATTACCTTCCTCATCTGGCTTATTATTCACAGAACGATTGATTCCCTCCAGTGCCCCCCAGGCTGTTGTAGATGCTGTGTCTCTAGACCACATCTCTGTACCCACTCAGCTGTCATCGGGCACTTGGTGTTGTTGCTCTATCTTGACTGTTGTAAGTAGAGCTCAGGGAGCATAGGTGGACTTGTATCTTCCTGAATGGGTGTTTTGTGTGCTTCAAACAGATACCTATGAGTGGGGTTGAAGGATCATTTGGGGGGGATGGACATGGTTGTGCTCAGGGCTTGGTGCTCAGGAATCACTCCTGATGGGGCTTGGGTTCCACATACAGTGTCAGGGATTGAACCCAGATCAGCTGCATCCAAGGACTGTACTATCTTTCCAGTCCCTGGAATTGCTGGGTCTTATGGTAGATATGTTTTCCTTTTGGTGGCAATTATTATATAGCTATTTCCTGCATGCGAAGTTCATGTTCTACATGAAGTTCATCTATTTTTAACATTTGGGAATCCTCCATACTGCTTCTACAGAGGCTGACCCTTTATGCATTCTACCCAACAGATTAACAAGGGCTTAAGATAGGAGTTTCAGGTTGAGGTTCATTTTTTTTTCTGGAAATAGAGGTCTGATTGTTCCAGCTCCATTAATTGAAAGTGAAGACTAGCCTTTCTCTCCTTCCTTCCTTCCTTCCTTCCTTCCTTCCTTCCTTCCTTCCTCCCTCCCTCCCTCTCTCCCTCCCTCCCTCCCTCCTTGGGCCACACCTGGCGTGCAAGGCAAGTACCCTCCCTGCTATATTATTTCTCTGGCCCAGGGTTACCTTTCTTTTATCTTGGTGAATTGTCTTCAAAAAATAGTGTTGAATAGAAATTGTGGGAATAATTATCTTTTTATTTTTCCTGATATTGCTATTATGATATTGCACTCAGTTTTCATTTCTGATTAAATGCTTTATGTCAGTGTGTGTGTGTCTTTTTGTTTTGTTTTGCTTTAACAGTTTTTCTTTAACAGATTAAAAAAGCTTTTAATTTCTAGTTTGCTGAGTTTTTATTTTGATTGACTGTTGTTTTTTTTTTTTCAGGTTATTGTTGGGCTTTTGTTGGTGTAATTTTTTTCTTTAGTCTTCTAGCCTGGTGTACTGTATGGATTTGTTGTTATTGTTGGTTTCATTAATTACAGTCCTCTCCTCACCTTACCTTTTTGTTGTTGTGATGACCAGAGAGCTTCATTGCCATATTTCCTTGCTTGTTTGTGGTGCTCACCAGGCTTTCACGCTGGTTCCAGTGAATTGAGTCTTGAATATTAAGGTGACTGGTCTAGTCTAGGATAACTAGACTAATACTTCTTCTTGTATTTGTTCTTTGTTCCCCAGATTTGCTAAAGTTTAGTTGAGGATTTCTGTATCTGTTCGTGAAGGATTTTATGTGTAGCTTTCTTGAAATGCTTTTGTCTGGTTTTAGCATCAGAGTAAATGCTACCCTTATAAAATGAAGTGGGAACATTATTTCATCTTAGGTTTTTTGGAAAAAATTGTGTAGAATTTGTTATTTCTCCTTTAAGCCTTGGCAGAAATTGCTTTTGAAGTCAACTGGATTTGAATTTACAATATTCTCTTCTAATGATTTTTAGCTGCAGATTTAGTCTTTTAAAGAGATATAAGTGGGGGGGGGCAGGAGTGGTGTGTGGTGCTATCAGCAGGTCAACCTGTATTTGTGGGTTGAGTGCACTTGCAGCTGATGGTGGCTTCATGCTTCCTGATACCCCCAAATTGCTGCTGTGCCTCTGGCTGTATGGGTCCTGGGGTCCAACAACTCGGGACCAAGTTTCCTGAGAAAATTAAATGGCCAAAAGTTAAGTATGTGGGAGCCGTGTCCACAAACCACTTTTGCCTTAGCTATACAAGCTCATTTATTGGCCTTGCTTCAGAGACCCATAAATAAATCTTGAAAAAGATCAAAAGCCATGGTTAATCTTGGACCTGTGCAAGACTGAACAGACTGAGGTAAATCGGAGAGGGGTAGGTCAGCCTCATGCCCACCCAAGCAGAACCCCCAGCAGCCACTTGCACCACAATCCAGAATTGCCACCATGCCTCTGGCTGGACTCTGTTGTCTGAGGACAGACCTCACCAAGAGATTAACCAGTTGAAAATTTGGATATTTGGGTTTGCGACTGAAATCTTCAGTCTTCCTCGAAGTTGGGATGGGCTGCCTCCCTCCGCACTTCCCTATACTCCTTGAGACACTGGCGGTCACCACCACAAACCAACTCCATTGCCACCATGTAAGCTCTTCTACTGGCCTTGCGTCACAGACCATTAATCTCAAAAGAGATCAAAAGCTGCAGTTAATCTCAGACCTGTGCAAGGGCTGAACAGACCCGGGTAAATCATAGGGGGTGGATCAGCCTGGCCGCCTCCCAAGCAGAATCCCAGGCAGCCACTTGCTTCCACAATTCAAAATCGCTGTGCCCCTGGCGTACTCCACCTTCTCAGAGACCTCACCAAGACATAATCTGCTGAAAATTTGGCTGTGTGGGATATGTGATTGAAATCTATAGGCTTTCTCGGGGTTGGGATGGGCTGCCTCCCCCGACCAACCTGTACTTCTGGAAGCCTTGGCAGTCCCATTCATACCCCAAAGCTGTCACCCAATTAAAAAAATCTACTCTAGCCTTACCTTCCTGATAAAAATTCTGAATGCCCTGAACAAACACCATGACTCTTAGTACCTGTATTGCAAACTGTAATGCACAAAAGGAGAGAGAAAGAAGAAAAGTGCCTGCCATAGAGGCTGTTGGGGGGAGGGGCTGTTGGGAGATGGTGGGAGGAAAACGAGGCACATTGGTGCTGGGAAATGCACACTAGTGGATGGATGGGTGTTGGATCATTGTATGACTGAAACCCAGTCATGAATAGTTTGTAATGGTCTGTCTCACCTATACTTAATAATAATAAAAAAGTAGATGTAAGACTATACAAGCTATTCATTGTTGATGAATCTTGATGATTTGTGCATTTTAAGGGAATGTGTTATTTTATCTGTTGTCGTCCCGTTTACAGATGTATGCTGTATTCTTTATTATTAGTTTAATTGCTGTGGGATCTGGGTTGATACCAATGTAGCAAACGCGATTTTTTTTTTTCCTATAGCTTTTGATCGGTTTATGGAAACCTTGAGATTAGTTCAGTATCATCCTTAGACCCTCTTTTTGGGTTTGTGTTTCTTTTTTTTTGGCGGGGGGCACCCCTGGTGGTGCTCAGGGAGGGGCTAGTTGAATCTCAGTGCTTGAAGGTGCCCACGAGCCATGGACCAGGCAGTGCTCAGGGTACCGTGCAGTGCAAGGGACCGAACGCGGGCCTCCTGCTTGCCAAGCCTTGCACTCAGCCCTTTGAGCTAATATTGCTCCAGCCCCTGACCTTACTTTTGATGGCCTTTCTGTGCTTATTTTCCAGCAAATCACTGAATTGAAGAAGGAAAATTTTAACCTAAAGCTTCGCATCTATTTCCTGGAGGAAAGAATGCAGCAGGAGTTTGATGGCCCCACTGAGCACATCTGTAAAACCGTGAGTGCCCCACTCCTTTGCTCATACCCATTCGAGGTAGAAATGTGATTAGTATTTGTTCTCAGTGTTCGCACGAAGAGATAGAGCTGCTTTCATTTAATTTTAATTGATTACAGGGAGCGGATAGATAATCGGATGGCCTTCCCATTAAGCAGAGAGATAGGAAATTAATTTTGCAGGATGTCTTTGAAATCAGAATTCTGACTTGGTGTCTTTATCTCAATTGCCTTCCAAAATGTATTTTTGATCGAGACAAAGAGGGTGAAAGAGAGGGTGGTCTTACGACTCGAATCCCCCCAACCTTGCCACCTCACTTGTGTGACTAGAGGCAAGTCACTTCAGGTCTCTGGGCTTGGGCTCATCACTGTGATGATCCCTCGTCACAGACTTACATGTGTGGATTACAATGAGATGACAGATGAAAAGCCCCGGCACACAGTCTCTGCATGACGATTCTCGTCATTGTCTTCCCGAAGCTTCCGCTGGTAGCACAGAATTCAGATTGTCAGTTTCCCTGCGATACTGCTCCTCTGTCTTCCTCATGTGTTTGCATGTAACCATTGGAGAACAACCGCCTCCCACCGGTGTCCCGACCTGGAGGTCTCTGCTGGGAAAGAGACCTTGCTTCTGAAAGTTGGAAAGAAGAACTTGGTGTTCTCGAAGAGAAGCCAGACACAAACAAAATTTTAGTGCCCATCTCTTGACTTTCTTCAAGAGGTTAGCCCTTGGCCTAGGAATTATTCTATCCTTTCTCTTCTCAAGTGTGTGCCAGTGGAATCTTTTGAAGGGGCAAAAAAGAACAAAAAGAGTTTCAGTGGGTGGACCTAGATTGGGCCTGTCTTTTTTTTTGGGGGGGGGGGGGTCATACCTGGCGATGCACAGGGAGTTACTCCTGGCTTTGCACTCAGAAATTAGCCCTGGTGGTGCTCAGGAAACCATATGGGATGCTGAGAATCGAACCCTGGGTTGGTCATGTACAAGCAAATGCCTTACCTGCTGTGCTGTTGCCCCAGCTCCAAATGGGCCTGTCTTGAGGAGGGCGTGTACTGTACTTCATGCCTTTCCAGAAATTGAAAAGTGCTTTTGTCCCTAAAGACGCATATATTTTTCTTGGGAGTGGAGGGCAGGGATGATGTTCCCTTTTTCTGAAGTGTGTGGTGATGCATTCAGTATTTTGTAGAAAAAAACGAGAGCAGAGAACAGAGCATGTGAAAGGATAGTCAGCAGGTGTCTCGGCTTTGAGGGTGATGGGGAGCTGGAAGTGCCAAAGTGTTTGCTCTGTATAAGGTCCTGAGCTGGGACGATACAATCACCACCTTATTTTAATTCTCAAACTGCCCTTTGTGGTGGGCTTAGCCTCACCTTAGGCAAGAGGAAGTAAAGCTCTGTGAGGATCAGCAATTTGCTTGATGTCCTATGCCTGCTCTGTGAGGTGGCTTTATTTTGTTATTATTATTATCTGTATTTTTGCAGGGGTGGGGTGGGGGTGGAGGTGAGGCTTGGGTTACACCTGTTTTTACTCAGGCAATTCCTGACTCTGCCAGTATAGAACTATATGCAGTGCCAGTAATTCAAACTGGGATCAGCTGTATTCAGTCAAACACTGTCTGGCCCATACGTAGTTTGTAGTTTGTGTGTGTGTGTGTGTGCGTGTTTTGGTAGGAGGGTGGGCCACACCCAGCAGTGTTCAGGACTTTCCCCTTGCTCTGAACTCTGGGCTCGGGGGACCATATCAGGTGCTAGGGATCGAACCCAGGTCAGCTGCATGTCAGGCAAATGCCCTGTCTGCTGTGCTGTTTTTCCTGCCGTCCACGAGGTAGCTTTTGATCCCAGACATGCCTCTCACATGTGTCACACTGTTTCAGCTATTCCTGTCCATTGCACGATGAGGTGACTTGACTGAATTGCTTTCTTACTTCACTGTAAGTTTATGGAGAGATGTATGTGCTTTGGAATTCAAAAGCATAAAAGCATGCATTAAAAAGACCTGTCTCCTGCTGTCCTAGGTCTAACTATGGTTATTAATTCCCTTGTGCAGAGAAGTTTTAATGTATAACAAGTGTGTGTATGTGTGTACATATGTATTTATGTACGTGTCCCCCTTTTACATAAATGCAAGAGTGTTCAGGCTTGCACCTTGCATTTCTCCAAAATAACATTTTGGGTACCTTTCCTTCATCGTGATTTAAGGTGACATTCTACTTTATGCTTAAAAGTTATGTTGGTGTTTGGTTTGGAAATGACGATGTCCGTGTACATTGCTTGAAAACCAAGTAGTGGGCTAGAGGATAAAGACATCCCGGTGGGCACATTAGCTGCCATCCTTTTAAACTTACTAGGATGGGACTTTTGGGGTTTTCACTGGAAAGCATGTAGAAGTGTCATCTCTCCTGGAGAAGCTCTTGGCCTCCCAAGAGTTGGGGAAGGAATGCAGTCTCTGGAGGCCGTCTCTGCAGGCCTTGGCACTGCGTCCTCCACGCCGCCCCCCGCCCCCCCCCCGCCTTTTTTGGGCTATGCTCAGGGGTTACTGCTGGCTCTGCACTCAGGAATTGCTCCTGGCGGTGCTGCGGGACCATATGAGATGCTGGGAATTGAACCCAGGTGAGTCCCGTGCAAGGCAAATGCCCTACCCGCTATGCTATCGTTCCAGTCCCTTGCTGTGTCCTTTTGGCGAGATCATTTCCCCGCTTTTGGCTGTTGGTGCAGCCCCTCACCCCCATGGGTCCTGATGGCGGCTCTTCTTGTGTGCTGGTTCCTTCTGTCCTCAGACCCCAGGTCATTGGGCTTGTTTCTCATCTGACGCTAGAAGTAGAAGGGAGAACCCAGTTTTCTTGCCCCCAGACTGGCGCTAACTGTGGACAGTCGCCAGTGTGTATGTTCCCATTGATGAGGTGTAAAGATGGGCCTGTGAGTGCTGTGTCTGCCTCCGTGCCCAGGGCTGGCTGGTTGGGTTCAGGGGAGTTAGCCGGTGGCCATCCTCTCGAGAGTGACGGTTTTGTGTAGTCAAGTAGAGGCAGAATTTGAACCCAGGGCTTTCTGTTCCCGACCTTTGCGTTCTGGCCGACTTTTCAATTCCAGGAACTTGTTTTCCCACACCTGCTTGGCAGAGAGAGGGAGACATATCCGCTGAAGAGACAAGTTTTACAGGAAATTACACACACACACACACACATTTGTTTTGTTTTGGGGTTTCACCCAGCGATGCTCATGGGTTACTCCTGGTTCTGCACTCAGAAATCACTTCTGTTGTCCTGTTGGGCTCAGGGGACCATATGGGATGCCGGGGATGGAACCCGGATCAGCCACGAGCAAAGCAAAGCACCCTTCTATGGTGCTTTCTCTCCAGCTCCAGGAGATGTCATTTTTGTTTAAAATACTTTGCGTGTATTAGAATGTAAAATTGGCATGAGTTTTTTCCTTTTTTTTTCTTTTTGCTTTTTGGGTCACACTCAGCGATGCACAGGGGTTACTCTTGGCTCATGCACTCAGGAATTACTCCTGGCGGTGCTCAGAGGACCATAGGGGATGTTGGGAATTGAACCCGGGTCGTTTGCAATGCAAACACCCTACCCACTGTGCTGTCGCTCCAGCGCCTGGCATGAGTTTTTAAATGCAAAGCAGGAGAGAGATGTCAGAGAAACCAGGCCTAGAAGCTGTCCTCTGTGTACTGCCCAGGACCCTGCCTGGCCTCCCTGAGCTCCTCGAAGGTTCCACCTGGGGTACCTTGATGGCCTGGCCGAGTGCTCAACCCTGGGCTCACAGTCTCTTGTGCGTTAGAAGGCCAGGCCTTGCGGGACCTGCTTTATTGCCATCAGCTGGGAGCAGCCAGTGCCCCTGGTAGCGACAGCTGGCTGCTCGTGGGGTGGCTCCTGGAAGTGGGTGCTCCGAAACTCTCCAGGGGGACGAGAGCACTGATGACACGGCCTCCTGCTCCCCCAGTGACGCGTTTCATGTCTTTGAAGCTGTACCACGTCCCCATTGCTACAGCCGCCACATGCATGATTGTAAACAACCAGAAGTAATTGCCTGCGAATGGCAAAAGCAAACTGCAGAATTGCTTGTAAATTTGCTTGGCGGAGGGCAAACAATTTTTAAATCAGCCTCCCTTGTCTGACATTTATGCCTGGATGTTTGAATGCTCTGGCTGTTAGAAGCTTAGAAAATTTGCATAATTGTTCTGAGGCTCCAAGAGCCCCGGGCTTGAGACCACCGGTGCTGTGAATCTGAGACCACCGGTGCCTGCTAATCCCCTTTCTCCTCCGCCCCGAGGCGGACGAGCCTTTGGATCTAACGTCCCGTCTCCCCACTGTCCACGCGCCTGTGTGCCGGGTCTCATGCCTTTTCTCCTCTTTTCTCGTCGCGTCCCGAAGAACATCGAGCTCAAGGTGGAAGTGGAGAGTCTGAAGCGGGAGCTCCAGGAGAGAGACCAGCTGCTCCGGAAAGCCTCGTGAGTATCTGCCGGCCCCTGTCCTGTCCTGTCTGAAGCCCTGGACCTGGGGGGTGACTCAGAACCTTTCGCTCTCAGAGCCACTCTGTTTCCCTGCTGTGCTCCAAGGACCCCCAAGGAGGGTTGAAAACATAAAACAAAATGATTTTTCAGTAAACTGAACAAAATGTAACCCACTCTGAGATCTTAAGTTGTCACTGAATGAACACCCCCATGGGTCCTAGCTTCAGATTGGAAACCAGAATATCACCAGCCCCCCGGACCCTGCTCCTCTTCCATGGAGAAGCCACGTTTCCACCCTGGCCAAGTTGAGGCCTGACTTGGCCAGCTCTTGCTTCCTTTCCGTCCCTCCACCCCACCCCCTGTCCCCCAGCCTCCTCTCTCAGCACCGGGTCTGGATCCATCCATGTTGCTAGTTCCGTCAGTGGTTCATTCCCTGTCCCGGCTAAAAGAGCCATGGGGCCTTGAGGAGGTCCCGAGGGGGGTCTTCAAGGACTCTGTGTGGAGGAGGCAGCGCAGAGGGAGGCCTTCCCCTGGACTGAGCCTCTTGTACCTGCTTGACGTACGCACGGCAAGGAGCCCCGTGAGCAGTGTTGCGTTCAAGGGAGGCGTTCTAGTGGGACAGCTGTTATTGAGTTTGTGAGTGAATTAATTCAGCCCTTTATTGATCAGCTCGCATGCAAGCATAGTACAGAGAGTACCTACCTTCCACCTCTGATTCAATGAGCTTTTTATACATTTAGAAATATTTTTTGTTTGTTTGGGCCATACCCGGTGATGCTCAGGGGTTACTCCTGGCTCTGCACTCAGGAATCACTCCTGGCGGTGCTCAGGGGACCCTATGGAATACCAGGGGTCAAACCAGGTTGGCCATATGTGAAGCAAATGCCCTCCCCGTTCTTCTTTCACCTCAGTCCCATTATTATTATTATTATTACTATTATCATCATCATCATCATCATTATGTTGTTAATGAGCATGTTTATTTAGAAACATGCTTCTGTTGCACAGTCAGGATACACACTGCAAATAGACACTTCCCTTCCCTGCAGTGTTCATCTGAGTTGGGGAGTCATGTCAGGGAGGGCGCTGATGGAGGTGACGAAGGTGCCAGTTCAGCATGGCCAGTGGGCGGGGCTGGGCTATGATGGAGAGAGACTCATCCCTCCAAGGACTGCCCACCCCATTCTGTCTGCCACTCCCGGGAAGACCCGTCCTTTGTCCTGGCAGCAGAGCTCCTGTTGCGTGTGGCTGGCAGAGGCGGGAGTGCCCAGGCTGGCCCAGCTGCTCCGCCTGAGCCTGGTCATTCCTCTCTCTGCGGCCGGGCCCAGCAGGCAGTCGTGCTGTGTGCTGGCCTCAAGTAGATGAGAGGCTCGCCAGCCCTGCCCATTCTTCTGAGTTACGCTGAGTTTATACAGTGAAGGAATGAGTGAACGAGTTAACTCGATGTGCATGGTACGTGTGTGTGTGTATGTCTGTGTGTCTGCAGTTAGGTGTGCACCTTGGTGTGTGTTTCCTGTTTAGTCCTGTGCTGGCTGTAGAGCATGACGAGGACTTGTTTCACCCACATTTCTCGTGCATGTAAAAACCCAGACTCCTCACCTCCACCCCAACACACACACACACAACGGTTTCTCATAAGAACAGCACATGCACCTGGTGGCTGTGGATGCTTGGCGTCCGTGCTCACGGGCGGCTCCATCCATTACCCAGAAAGTATGGTCTTGGGCTAGGTTTTCAGGGATGGATGCTGATCCGGATGGGCTCAGGGGCCTTTGCTTTCTAGATGTAGTGACCGGTGATAAACTATGTGCAGTAATAAATGTATGAATAAAAATTGGGACGAGAGTTAGGGGAACAATAAAGGGGACTATGAGAGTTTATAGAGAGAGTGGTCAGAGGCAGATAAATACAGTTATGATAAACTGGTGAGGTGAGGGGCTCAGTGGTAGAGCACATGTTTTTGCATATAAGAGGCTTGAGTTTGATCTCTGTACCGAACACACACAAAACTCATCTCAGATGTTTTCTATAACAAAACAAAATACTCACAGGAAAGTGGCCCCAAGGAGGCAGCATTTTGGGGGGGGGAATAACCTGGGAGCCAAGTAGGAATCGGGGAGGTGCAGGGTAGAGCAAAGGTGTCAAAGAAGGGGATGTGCAGATGTGGGATGTAGGATAACATTGGTTTGTCCTTTCTTCCTTGCCATAGGGAGCTTAGATTTATCGGGTTACATCCATCACAGTGCCCCCAAGTCACTCCTATTCCTTTGTTTATCTGTAAACTCTTCTCAGTGCTCTCCTCCCCAACCAGTTAATCACCTTTTTCCCTAATTAGGTTCTGTTAGCTCTAAGATCAGATCCTTCTAAGGACACTGAACTTGTAAGTTATGTCTTTTACGTAGTATACCTTAAAGCGATGTCCTTTCTGTATAGACACAGGAAGACAGTTAATATTAGCTTTTGTAACTTGGGAGTTGATTGGTTTCGAGTAATATTTATTCCTGGGCATCTGCTTTCTCGACTCAGTTGCCCGTAGTTCCTAGCATCCCAAAATCAGGGTCCCGACGAGGAACTGAATGGACTCAGGGCAAGCTGTGATCTACTTTGGCATTGAAATGGGCCAGGCCAAAGTACCACAATACTCAACTACAGGTTGAGAGCATGGTCATGGACAAATGCTGTCATGATCCAGAAGTAATGAGGAGATTAGGAGCCTGCTGGGATTAGGAAGACTAACCTGGCCTGAGGACTGTGGTCTGGAATATCTAGTGAGATGTCCTCAGGAAGAACCAAACTTTAAGTTCATATACCTCTTACTGTGCTCATACAGAATGACATTGCTGGAAATATTAGAAGTAGATTTACTACAACTATTTAAGTAGATTGGGCTGGAGCCATCTCACAATGGGTAGGGCGCCTTGCATGCGGCTGACCCTCCGACCTGAGTTCGACTCCTCCACCTTTGATTCTTCTGCCCCTCTCGGAGAGCCCGGCAAGCTACAAGCCTGGCAAGCTACCTGTGACGTATTCAGTATGCCAAACACAGTAACAACAAGTCTCACAATGTTACTGGGCCCGCTCTAGCAAATCGATGAACAATGGGAGGACCGTGACCGTGACTAGATGAGGAAAAAAGAAAGCAAGACATCCTGGATGGGATCCCGCCCTTAAGTGGATCTCCTAGTAATCCGGAGTAATCTCTTCAGATGAGATTTTATCCTTGAGTTAATCCCCTGGAGGAGTGGTCTTACCCCTCTTAGTTGATTTGTTAATGTTTAGCCCACCTTTGTGTCACCACCCTATGTGATTGCTATATAAACTAAGACTGTAAGAACGGTGGGGGGCAGAGTCAGATCTAGAGGCTGGAAGGAGAATGAAGGGGACTCCGGCTGGAGATAGAGAAGCAGAAGGGGAGTGGAGCTTGGAATAAACTGCGGTTGATACTGACCAACCTGGCCTTCGTTCCTTCCTTCTCCTGCCTGTTGCCATAGGCCTCCCTGGGGCGGGGGAAGCGGCCCGAAAGCACCAAATGCAGGCAGCAAGGGAGATAGAGGGCTGCTGCCCTTTGAAAACATACATCGGGGGAAAGTGGGGAGACTGGGGGCGGGGGGCTCCATCTTTTCTTGCAGGATCCTGAGGCTGACTGGAACATTTGACCCTTTTCCTAAGGTCAGATGGGAAGCTGGGCTTTCAGCTTAGACACAATCAGAGGTTTGTTTTATAAAAGGTCGCCAGGCTGGGCTGTGCAGCAGGAAATGCTTTGTAGAAGGAGCAGAAGGCGTGGGGAGACTAGTGGGGAGTTGAAGTGAGAGGTTGGTGGTGGGGATGGATGGGGAGGGCAGGGCACTCAGACCAGGAACTTTATTCAGGACTGTCACGACTGTCACAGTGGGTTACTCAGCTTCACCCCCAAATAGCTTCCCCCTTAACACCCTCACCCCCCTCGCTCCCCCCCCACCGCAGGAGGGTTCACCTTGGAGCTCCTGTGGTTTTGTTTTCACACCATCACAGTAAAGCAAATTGCAGTAGTATTGTGAGATGATGCCCCCCCCCACCCAAGGTTTTGGTTTCCAGGTACGTGCCTGAAAGTCACCGTATTGGAGTCTGTCAAGTGCTGTCAAGTGTGCAGTGCAGCACTGTCTCTAAAAAAATCAAAACGACAAAAGTACGTACCTTAGTTAAAAATGCCCTGTTGCACCCAAAAGGAGAGAGAGAACACAGGGGATTGCCCTGCCACAGAGACAGGGGGGATGGGGGGATGGGGGTGGGAGGGATATTATCCATGGTGGTGGAAAATGGGCACTGGTGGAGGGATGGGTATCTGATCATTGTATAATTGAAACCAAAGCACAAAAAATTGTAAATCTACAACTTTAAAAAAAAAATAAAATAAAGGGAAAAAAAAATGCCCTGTTGCTGAAAACGCTAGCTGTCATCTGAGCCCTCATGTTCTTTTCTTGCTGGTGGCGGATTGTGATTTTCAACAGAAAAAGTGTGGGCACACGCGACACGAGCTGCCTCCCCAGGCTGTCCCATGGGAAACCAGGGGAACAGAGAAGCAGGGCCTGGGTTTCCGGCTGGTTGATACTCAGTTTATTTCTCTCTCCTCCCCAGTGTAGTCCGATCAGCTCCCTTACAGCCCGGTTGTACTTGTAGTTGTGGCTGTAGTCCCAGTCATCATAGTGTCATCATCCTGATCTCCTCGTGGACCTCAAAGTCCCTCTCCCTCATCTCATCCTTGTCATAGTCTCAGTCCACTACTTCTGTCAATGTTGCCATCTAATCCTCCTCCTAGTCCCCACAGACCCTCTAGTCCTCAAAGTCCCAAAGTCTGAAAGTCCTCTTCTTTCTCCCTCTCTTCCCTACAGCATACTTATGTAGGAATCATCAAAGGTGGGGAACACATAGGTGGGATTACACATTGTCATAACAACAAACAGAGGTAAAGCCACTCCTTTAGGAGATTAACTCAAGGATCTCATCTCCGGTTCAAGACT